TGGATTCTTTGTGATGGGGGCTGTCCTATGCACTGTGAGAGGCTGAATGGCATCCCTGGCCTCTACTCACAAGACACCAGTGGCACTCCCACCCAAATCACGATTATATAAAAAATTTTTCCAGACATTGTCATACGTCTCCTAGGAAGGCAAGATCACATTCAGTATAAACCACTGCCCAAACCCCTGTCTGCCTTTTGTAAAAGTTGTCATTGGTCATGGGACAACCTGTGAGACACTGAGGATAACCCAGCACAAGCTCTTCATGATTTCAAGAAGCAATTTTGGTCACTGGTCAACTGAGTTCATGCCTAGGAATTTACTTAAAAAAAAAAAAAAAAACCTGAACAAGTAGATAAAAATTTATGTGCACAGATATATAATAATATTGCTCATAATAACAAAAGTTTAAAACACCCAAAATAAGGAATTGGTTAAGTAAAAAAGAAAAGTGTGCATGTCTGTGTGTGTGTGTGTATGTATTTATATATGTACGTATGTATATAGATAGTATATGTGTGTGTATAGCATTCTAATATATATAAATATAGTATTCATAGTATTAAATACTATGAACTCATGAAAAAACTGTGTCAATCTATATTTAATAATGTGGGAAAGGGACCAGCAGATGGCTAAGGTGGTAGTGGTTAAGGTGCAGGACTCCCACATGGTTGACTGAAGTTCAAGTCTCAGACCTGGTGGCTTTAAACTCATGCCAGGTGTGTTTGTGTGCATGCTCAAAATCCTGAGAAGAGAATGAAGGAAAAGAGATTGTGGCATAGCCACCCCCTCATTTTCTGTCTATCTTCTACCTGAGAACCCTAGAGCAGAAATCTCTCAAAAAATAAAAAAAGAAGTAATAATAATGTGGGAAGTTCCACTCTCTGTTCATCCATTTGAAGCAACTTCTCATTTGTTAAATTTTTATCACAAGTCAATAATAGGCAGAAGGAGTAAAGTAGGAGTCATCTCACCACCTAACTTCCAAATATATTACGTTTTTATTTTTGTTTTTGTTTTTGGTGAGGTTTTTGCTCTAGGGCATGTGCACTCACCAGAAAGACAGAAAGAGACAGAGAGACAGAAAGCGAGAAATCACCCCCCAGGGGGGATGGCCATGCCACAATCTCTTCTCCTCCATTCTCTTCTCGGGATCTTGGGCATGCGCACACACACACCTGGCATGAGTTTAAGCCACCGAGTCCGGGACGCGAATGCAGTTGACTACATGAGAGTTCAACAACATAGCCATTACACTAACTGCTGGTCCCCTAAATATATTACTAAGATGTGATAATCAAAACAGCATGGTTTTGACACAAAAACAGACACATAGACCAGTGAAACAGAATAGAGAATTCATAAATAAATTCCAAAAACATACAGCCAATTGGTCTTTGACAAAGAACACAAGATAATACAGTGGAAAAAAGAAAGTTTTTTTAGCAAATGATGCTGGAAGAACTAGATATCTATCTGCAGGAAAAGGAAACAGGATTCGTATCTCTCACCATTAACAAAAAAAAAATCTCAAAATAGATTAAAGATTTAAATGTAAAGCTACAAGCTATAAAACTGCTGGTGAAAACACAGGGGACACATTTGAAGACATTGGAGTAGTTGATGATTTCTCAAATAAGACCCTAAAACATAGGCAGTAATTCCAAAAATAGACATGTAAGATTACATCAAGCTGAAAAGCTTCTGCATAGCAAGGGAAAAAATAAATATAGTGAAGAGACAACCCACAGAATGGGAGAAAATATCTACAAACTATGCTTCAAGATAAGAGATGAATAACCAGAATATATAGGGATATCAAGCAGTTTACTCGCACAAAAAATGAAAAATTCAATATGGACAAGTTAGCTGAACAGACAACTCTGTAAGAAAGACAAATGAATGGTCAAAACACATATAAAAAAATGTTCATCATCTCTTAGCATAAAGGAAATGCAGATCAAATCGGCAATAAGAGGCCTCTTAACCCCAATTAAGTGGTAATCAAAATGGCTAGTATCAAAGAAATAAAGAACAACAAGTGCTGGTAAAGCTGTGGAGAAAACATCACTGTTGGTGAGAATGTAAATTGGTATAGCCATATGGAAAATAATATAGAGGTTCCTCAAATGCAAATAAAATTATTATGTGACCTAGTAGTCCCACTTATTTTTATTTACCCAAAGTATAGGAATGCATTCAGTCAGAAGGATACTCACGTTTCCATGTATATTGCACCATTATTAGCAATCGTAAAAACATGAACTCAACCTAAGTCCCTAAGAACTGATAACTGGGTTGAAAAAATGTGACACATATACAGTATGGATTGCTATTCAGTCATAAAGAACAATTAGACACTGTCATCTGTCTCAAAGTGGTTGAATATGGAAGACTTACTGCTAAATATAATTGGCCAGACTTTGAAAGACAAACACTGTATATCCCCACTCAGTATATATTGAATGTCTGCACTCTATGACAGAAATTCAAAGATCCAAAAATATGATAATGGGAAAGATAAGTGTAAATACCTGAGTCTATAATGGAGGGGAGTGAATGGTGGAGAATAGGTGGGAGGAGCAAAGGGAGAAACTCTTGACAAACCCAAGAAGGCAAAATTCTCTATTGAAGATGATGTACATGGTAATATATCCTTGCTTTGATTGTCAAAAATTAATTAATTTTAAAAAGTTTTATCATGATATTTCAGCAGTTCAGTCACATCTTCAGAATCCCCTTCTAATTCATATTCTCTTGCTTTTTAATACCACATCTAGAGTTACTTACTCCACTGAAGTCTTGAACCACACAGAGTCATCCATGACAGTTGGAACCAGCTACTTGAATTCCTCTTAATGTTGATATTTTGATCCTCTCCCATGAATCATAAACATTCTTAATGGTCCCTAAAATGGTGAAGTCTTTCCAGAATTATTTTCAACTTAGCTTGCCCAGATTTATTAGAGAAATCACTATCTATGGTAGCTATAGCCTTACAAGATGTATTTCTTCAATAATAAGATGTGAAAGTCAAAGTTACTCCTTCATTCATGGGCTGCAGAATGGACATTATCTTAGCAGGCATAAAAACAATTAATCTCCTTGTACACCTTCATCAGAGCTCTTAATAGCCAGGTGCATTGTCAATAAGTGCTTGTATTTTTGTTTTTTGTTTTTGTTTATCTATTTGCTTTTTTGAGTGCTGGTATTTTTAAAGAAATCTTTTTTTCTGAAGAAGCTCTCAACAGTGGGCTTAAGTATTCAATAAACCATGCTGTAAGTAGATATACTGTCATCTAGGCTTTGTTGTTCCATTTATAGAGTACAGGCAGAGTAGATTTAGCTTAATTCTTGAGAATACTAGGATTTGGGGAATGGCAAATGAGCATTGCTTCAAGGTAAAGTCACCAGCTGCATTAGCCCCTAACAAGAGACTTAGCCTATCCCATGAAACTTTGAAGTCAGGCATTGACTTCTTTTCACTAGCTATGAAAGACATCGATATCATCTTTTTCCAATAGAAGGTTGTTTTGTCTGCTTTGAACAACTTTTGTTTAGTGTTACCTTCATTAATTCCTTAGATAGATCTTCTAGATAACTTGTTTCAGCATTTACATTAGTACTTGCTTCTTTATCTTGTTTTTTTGTTTGTTTGTTTGTTTGTTTTTATGTTAAAGATGGCTTCTTTCCTTAAATCTCATAAACCATCCTCTGCTAGCTTCAGACATTTCTTCTGCAGCTTCCTCTCATCTTTTAGCCTTCATAGAATTGAAGAGAGTTACGATCTGTTAGGCCTTGGTTTAAGAACATATTGTGGCTGTGGTTTGATCTTCTGTCCAGACCACTAAAACTTTCTCCATATTAGCAGTAAGTTTGTTTTGTTTTCTTATCATTCATGTGTTCACTGGAGTAGCACTTTTAATTTCCTTCAGGAACTTTTCCTTTTTACATTCACAGCTTAACTAACTGGCACAAGATGCCGAACTTTCAGCTTTTCTCAGCTTTTATTTATTTTTCTTTTTTCATGGTAAAAATATTGTGATGCATACATGAGAGAGAGAGAGAGAGAGAGAGTAGAATCTTCCACAGTCTGGCCACACTGTAATCCCATCCCTCCAGTCTTCTAGCTTGTCAGCCCCTGGGCTTTCATGCACTTGTCCAACGTACTTCAGACTATCTAGCTGAGGATTCAGACCATAGTCACCTTGTGGGATTCAGCTTCTTGTCCAACATACTTCAGACTATCTAGCTGATGATTCAAACCATAGTCACCTTGTGGGATTCAGCTTCTTGTCCAACGTACTTCAGACTATCTAGCTGAGGATTCGAACCATAGCCACCTTGTGGGATCCAGCTTTTCTCACACAGTGCATTACCACCGCACCCCAAGCTAGTCCCTTTCTCAGTTTTAACAGATTTTCCTCACTAAACTTAACCATTTCTAGCTTTTGATTTAAAGTAAAAGATGTGGCACCTTTTCTTTCTCATGAACACTCAGAGGTCATTATAAGGTTATTACTTGGCCTAATTTTAATACTATTTTAATATCTCCGGGAGGAGGGAGGCCCAAAGAGGGCGGAGAAGGGGGACAAAGCTGATCAGTGAAATAGCCAGAACACAAAACATTTATTAATTAAGTTAGTCATCCTACATGGGCATGGTTTTCAGCACCCAAAACAACTAAAATAGTAACCTCAAAGATTGCTGATATGAAATCACAATAACATATAATAATAATGAAAAAGTTGGAAATATTTTAAGAGTTACCAAAAAAATTTAAAAAAAAAGACACGAAGTAAACATATGTGTTGGGAACATGGTGCTGATAGACCTGCTCAATGCCAGGTTGCCACAAACCCTCAATTTGTAAATGCAATATCCATGAAGTGCAGTAAAAGCTTAGTTGCCCTGGCAGGAGGCCTCTTGCTGGGGGTGGCATTCTGGGCCTTTGCTTTAATATTCTTTCTTTTTCTCCCTTTCTCCCCTGACTGCAGGATGCTTTCGTGGAACTATATGGCCCCAGCATGCGGCCTCTGTTTGATTTCTCCTGGCTGTCTCTGAAGACGCTGCTCAGTCTTGCCCTGGTGGGAGCCTGCATCACCCTGGGTGCCTACCTGGGCCACAAGTGAAGCCAACAATCTGCTGCAAACAAATATGCAAAGGTTCACTAAAGCAGTAGAAATAATATGCATTATCAATGATGTACCATGAAACGAAGCTATAGGCTCCTTAAAGATAACAAAACACACACACACACACACACACACACACACACACACACACACACACACACACACAGCTTTCAGGCAAAACGTCGAATCAGCTATTTACTGCCAAAGGGAACTATCATTTATTTTTTACATTATTAAGAAGAAAGATTTATTTATTTAAGACAGTCCCATGGAAACTCCTGTCTCTGGAAACCCTACCATTAACCACCAAGCACCACTTCAGGTGGCTCCACCTGGACATCCTGTGCTGCAGACACAGACTTGTTGTCCAGAGTGTTGGCCAGACTGACCCACCCTTTGAGGAGCAAACAAATGGACAAAGGACAGGACTGTTGGGGAAGCCAGTTTTCTGGCTGTTGGAGGTTGGGAAGAAGGTGTTCGTTGTTCTTGCATTTATTTGCCCCAGGGGCTGTGATATTAACAGAGGGAGGGTGCTTGGAGGGAAGTCCATTCTCCCCTGGCCTGAAGAATACTTTGCATATGACTTAAATGGTACAAACCCAGTTGGAGAAAAAACTGGGGACTTCAGATGGACGTGGTACCTGCCAAGATTTCCACGCCGAAGGACAGCAATGGGGAAACTGCCCTTAAAACATAGGAAAGTATTTTTTTAAGCTACCAATTGTGCCGAGAAGCAATTTAGCAATTTATCCAATATCATCCAGTACCTTAAACCCCAATCGTGTATATTCATATATTTTGGATACACACCCCCTCCCCCAGTACTGGCTCTGTCTGAGTAGGAAACAGAATCCTTTGGAATTCGAGGAAGTGAACATTTCAGTGACTTCTTCGGCATCAGGAAGGCTAGAGTTACCCAGAGCATCAGGCCGCCACAAGTGCCTGCTTCTAGGAGACCGAACTCTGCAGAACCTGCCCTTGGGTCCCAGCTCGAGGCCTGGTCCTGCCTGGAGCTGAGCCCAGGTACTCGCTGGTCTCCTCTAGGGGTTTTAAACACAGCAGTGTGGTCTCTGAATGTTTGGAAGCTGACGGAGCTCAGAATTCCACTGTCAAGAAAGAGCAATAGTGGGAATAGGCCTGGGCCTGCCCCCCTGCGGCCTGCCGGTGGGCCCGTCTCCATGGGAGCCATGCTTTTCTTGAGACATTCATCACTGTGGAGGGAAGGGACAGAGGCACTGTGCCTTTCCTAGCAGAGGGACAGGGTGAAGACTGGGAAGCTGCTCCCAAAACTAAATGAGAAAAGGAGGCAGCTTTGGCCCAGTTTCGGCCACAGAGCATGCGTGCTGGCTATGGGCTGCTGGCCTGTCAGTGCAGTTTAAAGCAAGGCTTAAAATGACTTTGAGGAGGGTCAAAAACCCTAAAGGGAGCGTGGAATGAAGTGTGATTAATTGACCTATGACTATAGAACTATCTGTAAAACATTATTGTGTCATTGTAGTTTGGTTTCATTTGAAAACCTGGTAGGAAAGAAAAAGTTCCAGGTGTGGAATGCAGGGAGTATCTGTACATCCTGGGGCATTAAAAAAAAAAAAAAAATGGTGGAAATATAGAGAAGTAGCAAAAGAAGTGAAATCTCTGGCTAATAAACTATAAAGTACTTTTGTGGAATAACTTTGTGGCATTATCGCATTATATACCATTTATCTGTATTAACTTTGGAATGTACTATGTTCAATGTTTAATGCTGTGGTTGATATTTCAAAAGCTGCTTTAAAAAATACATGCATCTCAGCATTTTTTTTAAAAATGGTATTTAGTTATGGCCTCTACACTATTTGTTAGCAAAAATGATCATTTTCCATTGGAGATTTTTGTCTCTTGATTCTTCAAAAGCATTTCTGCAAAGGTGAGATAAGCCCTGAGTCTCAGCTATCTGAGAAACCCTGGATTTTGCTGGCCACTGAGGAGCTCTGTTTTCACCATGCTACATGCATTTTATGTCAACACAGTTGAAACAGATATATCTGTTGTCCCTTTGACCTTGTTTCCTGAAGGTTTACTTGTCCCTGGGCAGTTCAGCATTTAACTGAATTCATGTTATTTAGGATTACATGCATGTTTGGTTAAACCCATGAGGTTCATTCAGTTGAAAGTCCAGATGGGAAATGACCAAAGGATTAAAATCTTGCTGCGGTAGTTTGGCCTTTACAGTTGCTTTATGTGGCCTGCCTGACATAGGCCCACCTGGAGCCCTCCTGCCCTCCTTCCACAGGGCCCATTGCCGTGGCCGTCCTTCAGGTCCTTCCTGAAATGCAGTGGCGTTTACACGTTACTGAGAAATCTCCCTGGCGAGCCTCAGGGAATGGGATGATCAAACCTTTGAACGATTCTAATGTTTAAGCAAAATATTGTTTTCTGAAAGGTTTACATTGTCAAAGCGCGGAATATGAAATACCGAGTCCTGTGCTGCTATCCTGCCGAGATCATTTTAGTGGAGTCAGTTTGCAACCTACTCCAAGTGGCGCAATCCTCAAGCTGCTGTAGAAGTAACAATGAAGAACGTGGACATTTTAAATAGAAAGCTGTTTGTCTTTGTTGTTGTTCAAACTAGAATTTGCAGAGTATTTGAAAAATGTATATATGGGGGGGTAAAAAAAGGCCATAGGGACTAACTTGTGGCTGATTTCCTTTTGCTGTGGGGTTTTGTTATCTGATTTTTATGGTAAATGTGCCCAGCCACCCAACCCCAAAACTGTACAGTAATGTGGCTGCACTTGCTCTAAGAGTAGTGGATGTTGCATTTTTCTTGTTGTTAAAAACATGTTAGAAGCAATTAATGTATATAAAAGCCTGAACTGTTCTATTTTTCTCCTTTTTTCATTGTCTCAGTTATTTTGCGACCGAGCAACAAAGTATGTGTTTCATATTGAGAAGGGATTCTCATCTGCATCTCTTAGCTCCTCTACATGTGAGAAGGAGCCCTCTTTACTATGGCCAATGTCAGAGTTAAATAGAACATATGTGCTTTCCAAATTGGGGTTGAAGGGTTCTCAAAATAGTGCCCAAGGAGAGCGTCCAAGAACCTCCCCAGTCTTCCCTAACCTTCACTACACAAGGTCTGAGAGAGAAACCCAAACAACCGACATGCTCTACAGAAAACAGTTCATCCCAGCAGATTTTCTTTTTTTTTTTGGAGAGGTTTTTGCTATAGGGCGCGTACGCTCGCCAGACAGACAGAGACAGAGAGACAGAAAGCAAGAAATCACCCCCCAGGGGGGATGGCCACGCTGCAATCCCTTCTCCTCCATTCTCCTCTCGGGATCTTGGGCACGCACGCACACGCGCCCGGCGTGAGTTTTAAGCCACCGGGTCCAGGACGCCAACCGCGGTTGACTATGTGGGAGTCCAGCGACATAGCCATTACGCTAACTGCTGGTTCCGCATCCCAGAAGATTTTGCAGGAAGTGAAAATTCTTGTAAGTTTAAGATTTGAATGAAAGTCACATTTAGAATTAAGAAAGCCCCTTTATATATTTTAAGGAAAAAAAGCCAACATCCTCTGGTCAAGTTCACTTATCTCTGCTTATTTAGAAGTGGTCTTCCATCTATATGTGACTTTCATTTCACTAGTACATGCTTTTTGCTTATCAACTAAAGACCCAGCTCTGGCCCAGCGGGAAAAATTAAGACGTTATTATAAATCTAATCAGGGTTAAATGTAAATAATTCAGGCAATCCCAACACATCTAGATTTCACATCAAGGATCTAGTGAATGAGCAAATTGCAAATGCTCTACATTTACCATTAAACTTACACTAAAACAGTTTATAAATGTGAATTAAACTAATTCTAACTGCACTTTTAAGGCAGTGGCTGTTTTTATACTCTCTTATCACTTATAGTTGGTAATATATACCAACTCTATCTGAAAAAAAAACAGGAAGGGCTTGAAATACAAGCCATTTTAAGGAAATTAGGGAGCTCATTGAAATTCTATTCTGATCTTATTCTACGGTGTCTTTTGCAGCCCAGACAAATGTGGTAACCCACTTTTTAAGAAATACAATTCTACATTGTCAGGCTTATGAAGGTTCCAATCAGATCTTTATTGTTATTCAATTTGGATCTTTCAGGGATTTTTTTTTAATTATTATGGGACAAAGGACATTTGTTGTGAGGTAGGAGGGAGGAAGAATTTTTAAATGAGTAAAATATTTTTAAATGAGTAAAATATTCTCAAGATTGAATCAAGGAATAGCGGTTTCCAGAATAGTCTGAACTGTCAAGATATGAGGGACCTTTACTAAAGTTAATTTGTTGCCCCTGTGAAGGATCTTTTTTTTTTTTTTTTTTTGGGGGGGGGAGAGGTTTTTGCTATAGGGCGCGTGCGCTCGCCAGACAGACAGAGAGAGACAGAGAGACAGAAAGCGAGAAATCACCCCCCAGGGGGGATGGCCACGCCGCAATCCCTTCTCCTCCATTCTCCTCTCGGGATCTTGGGCACGCACGCCCACGCGCCCGGCATGAGTTTAAGCCACCAGGTCCGGGACTCGAACCGTGGTCGACTACGTGGGAGGCCAGCGACATAGCCATTACGCTAACCGCTGATCCCTGTGAAGGATCTTATGGAAAAAAAAACGAGAAATATTTTCAAGTTCTGCTATATGTTTTTGTTTTGTTTAGATTTTTGCTATAGGGCACATGCATGCTCCAGAGACAGAGAGGGAAAATGAGAAGTCTCTTACTGGGAGGGATAATCACACTGCAGTCCCTTCTCCATTCTCTTGGGATTTGGGGTACACACACACACACACACACACACTCAGCATGATTTTCAAGTCTGGGAATTGAACCACGTACTCAGCCATGTGGGATCCAGCACCTTAACCACCATGCCATCTGTTGTCCCGTGTACCTTTAGATTCATAAAGCTCAAAGTCTAGCTTGGTTTGGTAAACTAATGGTATAAATATCAAGCTGGATAAGTTTAATTTATTTAAACAATAGATTTTCACTTTTAGCCACCAAGATATTTAATGGCAATATCTGGTTGATGAGGACATGTATTTCCAAACATTTCTTATTAAAATTAAAAAACAAAATTATATTAAAGGGGCTGGTAGGTGGCGTGGTGGTTGGGACAATGGACATGGAGTTCAAGTCCCAGACCTGGCAGCTTGCTTTCTCTCTCTCTCTCCTCTCTCTCTCTCTCTCTCTCTCTCTCTCTCTCTGTGTGTGTGTGTGTGTGTGTCTTTCTCTGGTCAAATTGAACAATAATAATAATGAATAAATAAATTTTTAAATAAAACCCTGTTAAATAAAGCAATGTGAAACTGCATTGGGTAAGTGATAATACAAGTCCCTCGGCCTTACACAATGAATCATTCTGTTCCATATCTTGACAACCATGAGCTTGGACAACCATGAAACATGTATCTCACTGGGCACAACAAAAACCACATGGAATATGAATGGTAACTGAACCAATTCATCATGACCACCCAGAAAAATTACTTAAAGGCAACATCCTGTCAATGACAAGGTGGTTCTGTATACCAAGCTCAGTGCAGAAGACAAAAAGTCATGGAGGATGGAAAGGCTACCTTCATCAAAAAGTTGTGCCTGCTAATAAATATTCCTGGAGTGTAAATACTCAATAAAGTCGTGTACCTAAGCCTTTTGGGAACTATGAAGAAATATCTAGCTATTGGGTCATTGGAAAAGTCATGATGTAGTTTCCTACGTAACAATGTGTCATGACTTTTTCAATGACCCAATAGTTCATTAAGTTTTCCCCTCCAATCTAGCATCTGAAAGCATGATAGCTGACTACATCTCTTTAGGGGAATCTGGTTTGTTTTGTGTGTGTGTGTGTGTGTGTGTGTGTGTGTGTGTGTGTGTATTTATTATAATACCTTCTTAAGTTTCCAACCAAGTTTTGCTTTCATTTTGAGTTATTGGGGATGTTTTTGTTTTCAATTTTAAAAGCATACCATAAGTGCTTTGTATTGAAAACTCTGTTATCAAAATTTTCATGCTTTTACCTTCCATAGGCTGTTTCTAAGATTGATACTTTTTAGGGGTTGCTGATATTCTGCAACACTACACACAAAAAGTAAGGTAAGCACAATTTCCATAGTTAAGGCAAAGTAGGTCTCCAGTGGGCCACCATTAAATGTAATGGCACTTTGTGTTGCTGGAAAAAGTCACATTGCCATTAAACTTTCCTTGTCTGTCCATGGACTATTGTGAAGAAAAATAAAGCACAGCGTGAGATATTGTGCCCTGGGATTGTTTATAATGTGTTAACATGATTTCACCCTGCCATTTATTGTCATTAAACAAGACTTTGAAAAGCCTTCTTAAGCCAATAGAACCACTATGAACCCCACTCTAATGAAGCCCTTAGGGACCAGGCTAAGGGATTACCTTACAGGTGAAACTACCTTTAGATTCTTTGTAATGAACCCTTCTGGTTAGGCCCAAGATAAACTAGTTTTGAATTCCACTCCTTAACAGCCTCTGCTGTTGTTGGGTGTGTTCTGCCATATGGATTGGAGATCCCAGCCTCAGCATTTCAGAAGATGAAGAACTGTGTCAAAAGGAGGGACTCAAGCTGGAAGTTTGATTTTGATGTTACTGGTTCTTTTAAAGGCAGGAAGAAAGATTTGTTACAGGGTCTCACTATTGCAATCCTTTGCTCCAGACTCCCAGTAGCCCAGATTATAACTAGCCTGTTTAGGTTGGTCCAGGAATCAAACCTAGACTTCCTATGTGTCCCAGCCTCACACAGCAGCACTCTATTGATTGCACCACCATGGGTGGGCTCTAAAGTTAACATGTTACCAGCACTGAAGCACATAAACCTAAATTAAAAGCCATCCAGTGTTTCCCACTGATGTCTGGGTCCTGAAATCCTAAGCCTCAACCTTCCAAATTTTTTATTTTTGACTCAAAATCAATCAGGTAGTAATATCCATCTTTTTTAAAAGAGGTTTTTGCCTTTAGGTGCAGGTACTCACCAGAGAGAGAGACAGAGACAGTGAGAGGGAAAGTAAGAAATCACCCTTCTGAGGGGATGGCCATGCTGCAATTCCTTCTCCTCCATTCTCCTCCTGGGATCTTGGACACACATGCACACGTGCCACTGGGTCTAGGACTCAAACCATGGTTGGCCATGTGGATTGATACTTTTTAGGGGTTGCTGATATTCTGCAACACTACACACAAAAAGTAAGGTAAGCACAATTTCCATAGTTAAGGCAAAGTAGGTCTCCAGTGGGCCACCATTAAATGTAATGGCACTTTGTGTTGCTGGAAAAAGTCACATTGCCATTAAACTTTCCTTGTCTGTCCATGGACTATTGTGAAGAAAAATAAAGCACAGCGTGAGATATTGTGCCCTGGGATTGTTTATAATGTGTTAACATGATTTCACCCTGCCATTTATTGTCATTAAACAAGACTTTGAAAAGCCTTCTTAAGCCAATAGAACCACTATGAACCCCACTCTAATGAAGCCCTTAGGGACCAGGCTAAGGGATTACCTTACAGGTGAAACTACCTTTAGATTCTTGGTAATGAACCCTTCTGGTTAGGCCCAAGATAAACTAGTTTTGAATTCCACTCCTTAACAGCCTCTGCTGTTGTTGGGTGTGTTCTGCCATATGGATTGGAGATCCCAGCCTCAGCATTTCAGAAGATGAAGAACTGTGTCAAAAGGAGGGACTCAAGCTGGAAGCTTGATTTTGATGTTACTGGTTCTTTTAAAGGCAGGAAGAAAGATTTGTTACAGGGTCTCACTATTGCAATCCTTTGCTCCAGACTCCCAGTAGCCCAGATTATAACTAGCCTGTTTAGGTTGGTCCAGGAATC